AAATAAAAAATAAATATTCATATTGTTATGTTACATTTTTGGCGGAATATGTTTTCTAATCATGCAACCTCTGAAGTTTAACACAAAACAACTGTTACGGACTGTATGACTTATTCAAAATACTTTAAAAAGCATTAAAAAGAACGGAAGTCGCAAGTTTGAATCTGGTACCGCAAAGCTTAAGAAAGCTGCTTTCTAAGTGGCTGACGTTGTACTCAAATGACATTATGGTACTATGTGTTGACCATAGTATTTCTTATTTACAGGAACATGTATATATTTACACGTGTACATACATCTTTTTTGAGTCTAAATGTTTTGTTGTCAATCTTTTAACCACAGAAGCCTTGTTACAGAACAAGTCATCCATTTTTTGTAGTTGGTATCTGTCTGTGAGGTTGTCAGATATGGTCAGTTTGACCCCCGTCTGACGGGAACCTGACCTCGAGTACGTAGGTCCGTCCAGGTAAAAGGAACACCTGGTGTCATCACTTTTTGATAGTGATTCATAAACACATGTTCACGATATAGTCTTAGTCGTACAATCGGCTCTGTTTTTTTTCGCAGAGAATGCTTATGAATATGGAAAGGGTTTAGTCGCTTTTATTCATCTGCAATTTGCCTAAAAAATATGGGTCGTGGCTGTTTTGAGTATATGAATTGAACTTCATTGTTACGAACACGTATACTCAACAACATAATTGTGCATTCACATTTACACACGCAGACGAAGTTTGCAAGGTTATAGTAAGCATCATCCAATCAAATGCAAGGATTCAAGGAGATTTCAGCGATTTGGTTCGAAGCCCAGTTTATTGGGTCGCTGACGCTAATTGACATCTGGTGATTATGCCGGTTAATTATAATGGCGCCGACTAGACGACTGAGAGATCGAGTGTTGTTTCCCGTCAACCAACCAATAGATCGAGAAGTTCTTTGTCCCTAAATTCTTTAATATGCTCTCTTAATCGTCTGTGAGTTTGATAGATATGTTCAGTTTGATCCCCGTCTGAAAGGATCCTGACACTGAGTAGGTCGTGTCCATCTTGGTAATGACGTTTAAGTTGACATTTTCACTGCTTTTATTCACTTAAACAACCAATAGATCGAGAAGTTCTCCACTAAGAAAGTGTTATCCCAAATATAACATTTTTTACATTTGACCACTTTCTAAATGGCATTGTGTATTCAGAGAAGTTATCTGCTGTCCCTAAATTCTGTAATATGTTCTCTGAATCGATGTTCTTGTTTTCTGGCCAAAATGCATTGCCTCACATGCTACACTTTCCCCCACACAACCATTATTGGGTGCCATCAATCGAGTGTGACACATACGTCACCGGCTGTTCTGGAGCTCTTCTCACATAAACCGAGTTCGTTATACAGTTAATACATGCTTTGTAAATCTTCCATATTCGCCTGAAGTGTACAGTAATCGCCCATAACCTGCTGAAGTATGACATTTAGTACGACTCGGCAATGGTAATGGTTCTCTTCGCACACTGTGATCCCAATCTTGTGAAAGATTCCTCCTCTTCCCCCTAACCCCTGTTGGAGGTGATATTTAACTGCGCTCACATCCGCCAGATTGTAGACGACAAACACCACTAGCAGTACCTGTGGGTAAGGTGTTTGTTACATGCAGAGAAGCTGCACATTATTCAGTAGACAGCATCAATGCCCCTGTAACAAGATTAACGGTTTGACGATGTGCTATTTGCGAGATAATGGACTGCGGCAATATTGAATCTTTGTATTAGGGTACTCCTTGTCCACTTCAGAACCCTTTGACATTCTTAGAGGACGTTTTTGTTCCTTTATATGTCTGGACCGCATCGATCGCTTCTTGCAAATGACAACATGAGTCATGTGAAATGTTCAGCTTCAGGGGTGTTCGGTTACTAAGTTAATATTATCATGCTTAGCTTGAATATTAGTTCGACGATATACATTTATCTGACACCCACCAGTATATATTCATCTTCAAAAATGTAATCGTTACTATGTGAGCAGAGACCATCAGGCGCAATGTACGTTGAACATAAGGTTTATTAAGTGAAGAGAGATAATTGAACCCATAAAATGGGTTTGCCTTTTGCAAGATCAAAAGAAGCCTCATAACAAATGATGTTTTCTTTTATCACAGGATGGATCACGGCAGATGTTGTCTTAAAGTTAAACGTCGAGATGTTTTAGTGGTTCCACGCTAAAATATGTTCAACTAGTGAACGCTTATTTAGGCATCCGACGGGTGGCCGAGTCGTCTAGGGCGCCGCGATTCGCTGTGCACGCCAGAAACCTATGATTGTGGAAACTCAGCCGACTTTGTCTAGTCGGATTACAATCGTGACTATGTCGTGACAGATTCAAAATCGTAACAATGTCCTGTATTGTCTGGGCGGTGTCCTGTGGATCGGGACGCTGTCGTGGTGAACGGGCATGAATTGTTCGTTGTCGTTTCTCGTCGATTGCGTCCAGATTGCGTCCAGATCTAGCCGAATGCGAACCGTCTTTGTCGGTTCACTGTCCGGTCCCTGTCTGATCTCTGTCGGATCGCATTCGGGAGATTCGGGACGTTGTCGGGACAGTTTCCGTCGTTTTTTACCACGCGGAAGAAACAAATCGGATCAGATTCGGATTGAGAACGGAAGAATCGGGACGCTTCCTGAACAATATCTGATTGTTTGTGAATTTCCCGCCACGAATCACAGGATCTTGATCAGACTTTTGACAAAGTTTAATCGGGAAAAGTCCTATGAAGGGCGGCATTAAAAATCCTGAATGTGTGACTGAGCCCTTAGACATCATGTAAAGTCCACAACAAAAGATTTCACCATTACGCAATTTGTGAGGCTTAGAACTCATCAATTAACCCTTGTAAATGGCCAATATTAATTTCGGTTTATATCATTATATAGCATCTGTTCGGTTTAAAGTTTTGGATATATACATTTTACCATTTTGCAGTGTATTCTGTCTGCTTCCAGAATATTCCAGACGAATCCATTCTGGATTGTTAATGACCAAATGGGCTTTAATTTGTATTCACCAAAAGTGCGTTATGTAGCAAGAGGCCCCCGCCACGCTGACTTGATGTCAAGGGTGTATCCTGCTCAGTGTCAGTATTTCATTGAATGAGTCTATTGGACGGACGGTAGGGGGTAAGGAACAATCTAGTTCCATAGCCAAACAGGAATATATACCGGAATGAGGCGAAGGGAACCCCCCGATCCTTCCATCCCTAGCGAAAAAAAAATCGTGCTCGTAACAGATCGCGATCGCTTCAGGATATTGAGTTCGGACCGGTAATGGACACTGTAAACAAATTTAAAACTAAACCATCTCCACGACGCCGGGTTTAGTCTTCTAATGTCCTTTGTTCAAACAAAAAACAAGATGTGTGGGTGCCAATAAATGACACTTCGAGTTGATTTCTTCTCAGCGTCTGTGTTTTTGGGGGAGTCCTAATTAATTTTGTAAAGCCATTTGGTTTTCATTAAAGTAAAACAGGGATATTTTCACAATGTGTCATGAGTGATTGCAATCACATGCAAACGATTGAAATAAAAATATTTAGCCCTATACATTTATACTTACTCAATGTATTTGTTATTTGAATATATATATTATTATATTTATATCATAGATCCAATCCCCGCATCCAAAGTGGCACCGAATTCGTTCAGAAGGTACCTGGTTTTTTTATTCCGAAGACTTGAAGGCTTGAATGTTCCAGGGCAACAGAGGTCTCCAGAATGCCATGGGTTTGGGGGTGCAATGGTGATGAGGCTGTCCAATGTATGACCTGGCTTCTCTACCCGACAGCGAGAATGTTTGTGCATGGTATCAGCCTCTAGGTCTTTTGATGTTTTTCTGACTCCTTTGTTTACAAACTGCCGTTATTGAGCTGCGTTATTGCTGACATTGGCGTAAAACAGCATCATTCACATTTTAAGAAAACCATTACACAGGACCAAGAGACTAGCGTAAACGCTACTTCATGTGGGAACACAAGCCTGGAGAAATCATGTAAATTGGCAATAAATGTTCCTCTTTGAAATGAAATTTTGAACAAATTTGCCGATAAACCCTATGGGCAAACGTGCAGCTCGGGAGAGATGATAACGTGATTCTTTAGGATAAGGTACAAATATCCCATTCTGACGTTGATTTTAAGAACCCGGATGTTAATGAAGTCGATAGTTGGATTTCTTGATAATTCCTCATCTTAAAACGTCTCCTCTCAGGCAGGCTAATTAACTGGGTATTCTCTCTAAGTACCTGACTATATCCAAGAGCCATTCTGTTCGCTTTTAAGTGGCAACAAGTGCCCTAGGAATGGGATTTCATCAACACTGCTAATTTAGACAAATATTTTCATTTCCTTGCTGGGTACTCTGCAATCTTAGACATAATCTCCTATCTCGAAATATCCATTTTGAGAAGCCTTAGAAAACGAATGTCAAGACCAATTTCGTGTTATTGCGTGGATAATGAAAACGGGGTTCTTTACCCATAAATCACATGCTTTGATTTGAAATGGGTGTCGTTTTCATGTAGGTGTAATAATGGCTTATATTCGTTCAGCAAAGTATCCTAATCTTTGAGGATAGGTTTCGTGGCGGTTATAGTAAACAGGATAAATTCTGACTGGCGTGATTCCGTGATTTCACAGTGAACTATCTCGATGCTAAATGCAACATTCACTGTTCCTCAGTCATATAGCTGGAATATTGCTGAGTGCAGCGTTAAACAACAAATAAACCTTCACTGTTCAATGTCGAATCAATAGTTAAGCAAAAACTAAAACCCTAGGAGACTTAAAACGAACTGAACAAACAACAACATGCCATGGAGATGTTAAGGTCACGGAATCTGTATCTGCTAACGACTCCCATCTCACAGCTGGAGGTACAATTAGTTAGCTGATCGAAATGAAAATATTAATACACAGTTTTCATATTATCACTGACGGCTTTAATTGAAAATGAAACTCTTAGTCGAATAGACTGAATTTATTTACAAGTCATTAATACCGAAATATGTATCTACATACAGTTTATTACAATGTGTACATATTATGTTAGTTTCGATATACAAAAAATAGATATATAATATAAATAGTAGAAGACAAATTTTACATTTATCCCCGACACCCACGATATCCTTGTATGCTAGCATTGTCATAAAGAAAGGTGTAGATTTTACTTTTACATGACATGTATCCAATGAAAGCACAATGGTTGAATTGTTTGTTTGTTGTTTAACGACGCACTCAGCAATATTTCAGCTATATGACGGTGGTCTGTAAATAATCCCGTTAGTCGCCTCTAAAGGCAAGGATAGTCACCTTTTATGGCAAGCATGGGTTGCTGAAGACCTATTCTATCCCGGATCTTCACCAGTCAGGTCTTCAAGTAATAATGTGAGCAAAGTGTCATGAAAATATGCGTATCTTCACTGATTACTGCAAATATAATTAAAATTGTAAATACCAAAAGGGCGCGATTACACCTCTTGGTTTATTAACGAAATGTGAAGGGTGGATGAGACGATGGCCATCTGCGTACCCTCAAAACAAGTTAAAACACGTCACAAGTGCATTGCCCGATACAAGATGTAAATGAAGTGTTAAACTACGAGGACAAATATAAATATATTTCTACAGACGGTGTGTGAGGTGACCAGAATTAAGGTGAAACTTATGCAGTGCTGCTATTATTGCTACTCGTGTACAGATGGAAATGATGACCGTTTATACGCGATAGTCTGCATATAAAACCGGCTTGTAGAGAACCTACTGAATGCAACAGTAATTCGATGTTCGATACACGTTCATACCGACACCATATATACATGATAGGCTGCACAGAGTGATTCTATAAACTGACAAACAAAATCACGAATGTAACATAGTCAGATTCTCTGTCTGAGACATGTGTTAAAAACATGTATAAATGTATAATATTCAATGTCGTTTCAGAGCACTGCTTCTAGTACAGGAGACACATATTCCAGTGGCAACACAATAGATACAAGGCAGCTGTCTAGACGGCTTGTCTTTGTCCATATTAACACCAATTTGTTGTCACATAATTATACAATGCAACTATCGTCTTTTTTGTGATAATCATACATTCATGACTGCAATGACTTTGTTACACGATAGACACCGTTAATTAATAATCACTGTTAAACAATTATATGTGATGGTGAAGGTTCTACACCAATATGAACTTTAACAACGTCATATGCTACTGAACACTGAGTCATCCCGTCATGACTGCAAGTGTAGGGACAGACACGGTATAGACGCTTTGTCTGTGAGTGGAGAAGAGACTGGCGTCATGTGACCGGAAGTGAGGTGCGCCATCTTTAGGATCTGCTTTTGTTTCCACTTTGGTAGTTGACAGAACTGGAAACGACTGACTCTGATCACCTCCAGGAAGTCTTTGTCTGTGAGGTGCTGCTGAAAGCACAAAGAGAACGTCTGATAGGATCCGTTGTAGTCCCCAGCCTAGAAGCGGTATAACTGTCAGCGTTTGATGAATGAACTAGCCAGATACGTCAACCCTGACAAGCAATTCCGCAAAATCTCAGAAAGTAATATTTCTGTCACTAATAGCAAATACAATCAATAGTCTAGTGACTGGAGCGTGCCATGACTCAACTATAAAAAAATATTCTGGAGTTTATGTCATTTCCTTTCTATTATCTTTTATAGCTTTCTTTCTTTTGGTAGCTTTAGTTAAATCATAATTTGTCAACTTTTGTCTTGTCTTCATAAACACCCAAGTCATCCACTACCTGTTTATTTGTTGGGTCTACATCAGACGGGAGTTCCCCTCTCACCAACATCTTGTATGGGTATTTTGCTTTAACAACGTGGGTTTTGTCGAGTATCTGTGACAACAAAGTAAATGAAGGAAGCTTGCCATGTTTACAAATAACATCATGTTTTACCTGGTTACTTTGAAACATTATCAATATCCGAGTTATTAAGTTGGTTTTTTTGTCGTTATATAAATAACGTTCACTACAAAATATAAGATTTCGAACTTTGCCCTTCCATCAATACTTACATCTGAGCTGACATCAATGCGAGCGTTTTCTTGCCGCACTCTCTTTCTAGCGAGATCGTAAACATCTTTTCCCTGTAACATCAATTGTTAATCGTCAAAGTGAATGGTTAGACTCATCGATACTGTCGAAAATGTATTTTCTCATTGAGCATCATCTCATCAATAAACGCTTTTTATAGCCATTTTTTAATAGTCTAGATTGTTCAAGTATTTTACTTTGAGGGGAGGAGGGCTATATATTAGGGCTGCAACGAATACACTATGAGGCGAATATGATTCGTATAACGAATATAGGGTAATGAATATGGGTATTAATTCACGCAAATACAATAACAAGTCAGCAGCTGATTTATTATTTGTTATATTCAGTGAAGCAATAACAACATAATTTATTGACATGTTTTGTTAATTGTTAATATATTATACATTTATATACTGCACTTATCCAGGTACTAGTGTCTGCTCAAATGTGGCAATGACCAGTTACCACAATACTGTCAAAGTAAATAGTATAAGAGTGTTGTCTTTTGAAGAAATCTATGCATAAAATATGTTCTTATGGGTATTTTTATGTAAATGCACATGCTTGCATGTTCATAAATATTCGATTCTAGTGGCCACGAATAACGAATTCAATTCAAGAATGGATACGGTTCGATTCACCGAATACACGAGTGAATCGTAACAGCTCTACTATATATGTTGAAACCTTTTGCTAGCAAAAACATCTACACTTCTTACAGTTTTCAGCTTTAATACAAATGCCTACAGTGACAACTTCTCAATCGGACAGTCATCATTTGTCATTTCAGTACCTCGACATTACCGTAAAGTCACAGAGATATTGCTCAATCTCACTCCCAGCCACCAGCCTGCAAAATGACGAGTAAACTGGTGTGGACAATATATACATGCACTCCACCTGGCCATGGTTTGTCGGAAAGGAGAACCTCTATCATATTAACCTGCGGTAATATTTCCCTAGATACTGCATGCTGCAGCAATATGGCGTAGAACAGTTGAGACGACATGTACAATGATGAAGTATGGAACTGTAGCGAAAGCAAACTGAAATTACTTCCCACTTCTTTGTCTAAACTGTCATAAGGCTGAATCATAAAATCTGTAAGGTTTATTAATCTCTTCAAAATGAGTTTGTAGCTGCGACTCTCCTCACAGTGCCCTAAGGGCAGGGTGAGATATATTATTACCCACGGCTAAGGAATGACACGTATTATGAACCATCTCTGTCGGAGAACCCATCAAATTACGAGATTACATTGAATCGCGCGCCCCATTCAAGTTAATACCTCGTAGGGTCCGGATTGATCAAGTGGGAATGTTATGATCAAACTTTTAGGGCAATGTTCCCAGTAAATTGGTTTGATTTATAACCCCCGGAGTCGGCATGCAGTGTGTATCACGGCTAACCACTGCTCGGTGTTCGGGAACAAGTAAACGTCAGAACGCCGACATGTAATTCAACAGGGTCTGGGTTTTCTGACTTGAAGGAGGAAGCTGTAAGACGCATATCCAATAGGGGATATTTTCCTTCGACTTGATAGCAATCCTTCTCCATGTCCAAGTTTTAATTAACAACATTCTTACCTCATCGAGGTGAAGGAGAAGGGGAGAGGTCATGGTGGGGGGCAGTTTCAGCTTCGTTAAAACTACTATTTCGAACACAGACTGGGCAGAGGTGTTTTAATCCTGTACTGAGACATGTGTAGTAACTTTATGAATTTATGCGTTTAATCACTATTAAAACTACATGTTGGGAATCGAACCCGGATCGTCGGGGTGCCGAGCCAAAGCTTTTACCACCTTTCGCCCCCTGGGAAGAAGATGCATCTACTGTCAGAGCTCAAAGCAGTGTACCATTGTGTTGGAGTAAAATTTCGATTCAGAGGCATAGCCGTAAAACGATTGAATGAATCAAATAGGAACATTTGAGTATGTCCCTATGCACAACATATTGGAGACAACAATGGTGACCCTTACGTGTACATACAAGAAGCATTAGGACTCAGTGAGTGAAAAACGCGATTCATTTATGTTGGCAGTTTGAAGCTCTATTGGCGAAATAATAATCCTTTCACGAAAAGAAGGGACAGGGATGAAGATGGTTTCGGCAACACGCCGATGAAAGGCCCATCACTTACTCAAACATAACGCTAGCAAAATTTGATTAGATCTTCCACCAGAAATGGAATCATCCACCAGAAATGGATTTACGCCAATTAAGGCACCAGGCTTGCAGCAACATCGGCCACTACTGTCAACGGGTTCGCGAGACCCGTGTAGGATCTTCAGGATTGGCAGTGGAACTAGCTGAGAGCGTTTCAATACTTTGATCCGAACTCTGTAGGCATTGCTTGTAGACAAGAAAGGTAAACATTTATCGAGATTCCACAAAACCTGAAAAGTATCTGGCAGACCCCTGTCGTATTGATTTCAAAACGGCCATGTACTAAAACATCATTGTATTTGCAGACCACTTGATTACGGGACTTGAGCTCTGTCGGTTTTGCCTGCCTTATCGGAACATATATTGCAAGCGCAAATATTCTTTTCTTTATTTCTCTAACTTTATAAAATATTTCAGAGTATGAATTTCTGCCAACAACCTGTCATTATGTGTGCTTCACTTAACACAATGTATAAAACCAATTTAATAAGTTTAATCTATTCACAGATAACAACTACTTCGTGTACAATGTTTTTATTCCGTCGATCAATAAAACATTGATCAAATACATTGTAGTGATATAGTTTCTGTATTCAAAACGTAACTCTATCAGATCCTATTTACTGCTTATTTCCACACGAGACGGCATACAGTGTGTGCGTGTGCGTGTGTGTCCATGTGTCTGTATTTGTGTCTATGTGTGTCTGTGTCTGTGCGTGTGTGTGTCCGCTTTTGTCACGACAGGAAAAGACGAGAATAGACTCCACGCATTGCATCCATGGGGGAACTCGCACCCGGGTATTCAGCGTAAGCAATCCAAACGCTGTAACCACATCGTTCCCTTCACCACTAAACAGACTCAGCTGAAGGTTACTCATTCAAACTCATCAAATGATTTTGAAACACTGAAAGTAATTATTTTAAGACATCGCCTTACTATGTTTACCCTTATGTAAATTTATACAATGAGTTCCCAAACAAACAATTATTGCCAGATTCAAGCTGATGATTGTGGCTACGGGCAGTTAGTGACTCTTTGAACTATGCATACACTCTAGACTAGGCATACGTCTTGTCCTACTGCATCATTACAAGGACAGAAATGACAACAAAAGGACAACCTTTTCCTGGAACAGTGGCACTAATGGTAGCCATATCTCCCTGTCCACAAAACGGTTCAGTTTAATCTGTCGTTTTATACATATTCCGCCTATCAACTAGGAAACTACGACGGAATAAGACCACAAAGAGCAATGTTAAGCCGTTCATTGAGTGCCTGCAGCATAATTACCGATTATAAGGTATGCATCCATAATTCAACCTGACGTGCTTTTCAGAGTTGAAACAGATTTCCTTACAGTTTGCAATTACCTTCAGTATCAATGAAGCGCTGTATAAAGAAGCAACTGATGAAATCACTTCACTGTTTTTACAACAAGGGTAGTGTGGCAGAGCTGGAGGAGTCCGGGGACTCTGTGGCGGAGATAGAGGTATTTACGTCCGAAATGGCCACAGTTATCTTGGGCAGGTCCTGACGTTTCAATTTAAATAAATGAAACCCGAAATACCACGACGGCGGCCATGTGGTTTATTTGGCACTTCATAACTAAAGATGATTTCAAGAGATGAATAAAACGTCGCTAGAAATGCACTGTCATCAATCACCACGTGATGAATCCTACTGTAGGTATGATCATGTTCAGCTCATGCTCAGTAGGTTCATTGGGAATATTGTGCATACATAACACAGTTACTACACACATCGTCGGAATATGATTGTTAAGGTGGTTAACATTAATGTTTGCTTGTTTGTATTGTGTTTGTTTCTTTGTTCTTCGGCGTCGCAAAAAGCAATATTCCAGCTATATGACGGCGGTCTGAAAAGAATCGAGTCTAGACTAGACAATTTAAACACATCTGTGACATCACTCTATTGTATAAACGATCTATTAGTTTTCATTATTTTTATTGGTGGTCAATTACTCACGCCTAAATGAGCCTAACCCCACATTCTGAATAATGTTCACTCGGAATACAGGACATTTTCAGAAAACATGTGTCGCCAACGGGGCTTCGTATTATTTAAGGACGTGTAATTGATAGACTCGACACATGGTAGAATGGTGTAAAAGTATCTATTAACATAACCAATCACCTAAATACTTCCTGCCCATGTTGATGGGCCTATTAGGAGCAGACATAGCCCTGATCGAGGAAAGGGTAATATCTTTTCTATATGTTCTTTTCTTGTAACGAAAGATACGAATGTATCGAAAAACACAGAATAACCACACATTTGCCCGTTCATAAAGGATTAACTAGTAGTTTTGATGCCAGTAAACATTTAACAATGACAGATTAACAATAGTCACATGAACAAATCAGGTGTTCCTTAATTTCTTTTGAGCAGTGTGTATATCCTTACTCGTGGCTCAATATTTCACATATTCACCATCAACATGTTCTCAAAACGTGCAAGCGTTGAATAAAATACTCATCAAGGACACCATGTTACAGCATATATTGTCGCCGGGCACATATATATCGCCGCTGGCAACATATGCCAACGTTCACAGCACATACTGTCGCCAATCGCCACATATTCTCGCCGTCGACGATATATGCTGGGGGTGTTAATGCGGACACCATTAAGAAGATGCTTTACATTAGCTGTTCCCCTGCCCCCAGTATACGGGGATTAGATGTAGTAAGTGTTACTTCTATAAGAATGCGTATAATGTTAAAACTGTTTAATATGGAAATACAAATTTGACTGAAGATGTTAATCTACGACCAGAAACCAGAAAATGTTACAGACTGTAACACTTATTCAAAATAATTTAAAAAGGATAGTCTGGAATGGAAGTCGCCAGTTTGAAACTGGAACCGGAAAGCTTGAGAAAGCTGCTTTATAAGTGGCTAGCGTTGACTTCCTGTTCGGTCATAGTTCGCGAAAGGTTGTTCTGTTGTGACCTGTAACGGGATGTCCTCGGCGATAGCGAGAACTTGTATCTGATTTTAATGAGAATGAGGTAATCTAAGCATGTGATTAATCCTGTATTTAAATCATTAATTGTTTATTGTTAAGCAAGTTTATCTCTGCATCCGTTGTAATATGCAGCTACCAGCCGATTCGTCTCGCATCAAAACACTGGCTGTGTACTCTGGGCAGATGACCACGGAGTACGCTGATCACTGTGTCGGATTAACGAGACTGATTTCGGTAATTAGTTGCAAATTTGGTGTGTCGGAGTTGGAGTGCGAGACTGTCGGATTAACGGGTCTAAATAGCACTGATTTAATCGGTTCCCATCATTAGTGTCGGATAAAGCCGATTGTCGGATTAACGAGTGTCGGATTAACGAGACTTGACTTGACTCTGCAACATTCTACTCTATAATATTTTCTGTTAATGTTTCCATATAAAAACAATAATAATTGAAATTTACATATCTGAATCTAAAGGCTGACACTACCTGACATATAAGCTTATGAAGTTGTCATGTAGGCCTACACTTTTTAAGGTTTGGATAACGCCCAGAAATTGCCAATAATAATTATATAAACGCTCTAAAATATTTCAAAGGCATCAATACTTGTATAACAAGTGCAGAAAGTTTTCTTTAAGAGATATGCTAGGTTGAATAGATATACATGCTCCAGAAATGACACTACCCGTCAATTTGCAAAGTTCATCACGTTTCCATGGACCTGTCCAATCTCATTAAAATCAGATCTTAATTTTCGCTACCGCAAAACAAAGATCCGAGGACATCCTATTACGGATCACGTCAAAACGACCTTTCGCGAACTTGATGATATGACTGACAAGAAATCGACATTAGCCAATCAGAAGGCAGCTTTCTTGAGCTTTACAAACTGGGGACTACGCTTCGAAACATATTTTAACGTCTTCTCGATTACAAAAATTAAAACTGATCAAAAGAACATTCTGGAATGGCTTATAGAAGGCCTAGATTGTATGGATATATCATTTCGAGGTTATTTCGAGGTTGCATGGTTAGAAAACACTTTCCAACTGTCACTTTCATGATCTGGTAAGCGACGCTCTGATTGGTTGGATGAAAGGTCGTTTGACGTGACCCGTAATGGGATGTCCTCTGATCTTTGTTTAGCGGTAGCGAGAACCAAGATATGATTTTAATGAGATTGTGGACCTGTCCAGAATACAACTTTGGACAATCTCTAAATAGCAGCAAGCAGAAGTGCTTAATGTGACCAATAAGTGTAAGGAGTTTCGTGATGCTGGATTGTATAGTGTTCGAGATATGCTTGATAGTTTACAGACGGGCGGACAGAAAGATAGACTGACAGACTGACGACAATATATCCCCCCGTCGTTATACGTCGAGGGGGGGGGGGGGGGGGGGGGGGGCAAAAATCAAGTCTGACAAGTTTTCTATAAATGTAGTGGAGATCATCATGATCAACATGACAATCATCATCAATATCGTTGTCATCTCAAAGTTTAGTTGTTTTTGCTCTGACGAATGCCGACAATATGTGCAGCGAACCTCGGCTGTATTGTCTCCTGCGACAGTATATGACCGGCGACATATTGCGCCGGCGAAAATTTACGCCGTAACACACCGCGAAGTTTGGCAACAGCAGTACAGAACACATTCCACGTGCACCACACAATGGTGATACAGACTACAAACAGTGATAGTTTATTTTTCAAATATGTTTCACAAAAGAATGTTCTGTTAAAGTAAAAATAGGCTATGTGTTTTAAGTAACATACTCGTTCCCGCTCTTTCATGAACCGACAGTTACGAGTAGGTTCTCCTCAACATACACGTCCGCTGCTGTCGGCTGTACATTACATAACAGTACACGTCCGCTGCCGTCGGCTTGAACAGTACAAGTATTATTCCTGTACAATTACATCACACTCATCAGATAGAGAGGATCAATATGTTGAGCCGGTGATTAGTGTGTTAAAAACTGTGGCTATCGATTAGAGCAGTATTCAACGGTAGTGTATCAGACACGGGTCTCGCGCCCGTGGTCAGTGCAAGGGTGAGCGGGGAAACACATACATGGGGCTAAATCTAACGAACGTGAAGGGAGAACCACTCTATTTCACGAACTAAATGACTTGGTAATGTCTCTCCCCAGCCAAACAAACACAAGTATTTCTCTTTCCAGTTGCGGGGGCTATCTTGTTGTCATCATGGTATTTCGTAATACCACTACTAACGACACGGTGACACTGGTCTAAATTAAACCTACAGCTTACATGACGACATCAGGTGTCATCGTAATATAATGCAGAGTACTTTTATGAGATTTTGGTGAACGTATCATGTATTCGGTAATAGTACCGCTTCATGGGTATATAATTTCGACACAAGTTGTGCACAAGTTCTAATTTAATTAAATCAACGGCGAGGATCCATAGGTGATGGTTTCAACGTGACCGTTTTCGGTAACAATGTCTAAACAATGATGGTATTCCAGATTCGTTAAAACGTATAGTTTGTCCACGCTTGAAAATGCCTCACCCCGAATCCCTTGGATGTCCAGTTCCTGAAGTACTTGGTGAAGCCGTGTGGTTCGTGCCCCTGGCAGATGTACCACAGCTGTAGGTCCCGGGAATCCCGACCTGCCTGGTCCTTGGCGAGGTACGCCTGGAACAACAGCCACGGGAAGACATTTAGCATCGTTACTCACAGGGTTGAAACTTTACACTTATTACCATACGATACACATCCTGATAGTAAAGATGCCATACGATACACACTCCGATAGTAAAGTTGTCATACGATACACCCATGATAGTAAAGTTGCCATACGATGCACACCCCGATAGGCCCCGTGAAGATCCGGGGTAGAAAAGGTATTCAGCAACCCTATGCTTGTCGGTGGATTGGCTGGTCCAGACTCGATTATTTACAGACCGCCGTCATATAGCTGGAATATTGCCGAGTGCGGTCTTAAACAACAAACAAAACAAACACACCCCGATAGTACAGTTGCCATACGATACATCCCCCGATAGTAAAGACGCGATACAATACACCATACGACACATCATCTCCTGATGTCATCAAAAGAAATTAAGTATACTAACTAAAAACCTTTCTAGTAGATTTGAGTTAATTAATAGACAAGTGGCTTCAGACTTTTTTCTTGACCATACAAGAGCCAAATAGTCACTGTATTTTTCAATTCATGTTCACAAATGTTTTCACATGTCCTGTCAATATAATATCCGTATCAACGCGAAGGGTCTGAACATGTTCAGGGAATCGTTGCATCCAAAGTAACTAGGGTTAATCCAGGACAGATTTCGTTTATTCCGTGTCCGGTGTATCTGTACCATTATCTAGAAGAAAATGACCACTCTGCCAACTGTATGGCATAAGTGATGAATTTCACTATTTGTTTATGTGTCCTTCATTTGAAGGAGACAGAAAAAACTCATTCATAAATATTATTATATTAAACCAAACATGTATAAACTGAATTTACTCTTTAATAGCAGAACATTCAGAAAACTATTTAAGTTATGTGAAATAATCATGATCAAATTCAAGCCTGGAAATAATGTTTCATAATGTTCACAAATTTTCAGCTGTTCTGTATCTGATCCGACTGATGGGAAAAGATATAACGACAGTGTAATACTGTTATCAAGTACATACAGTTTGTATAGTCAGTACATGAATTTTACCTCTAATGTGGCTGCTAGCGACCTGAGTGTAATCAAGTTCAGTTCAGTCAGTACAGATACAAGCCTTGCTTACCGACCTCATTATATGTTATTGAGCGAGTAGATTTATGTTGTTTTAACATAACCATGACTATGCCATCGTCTGTAATGAATCAAGACAAACACAGGGTTTAGTGCATGATAAACGATCCACGTCGTGGGATAAGATATCACATCATCAGCAAAGTCACACACTATAACAGCACGTTTGAAGTTACTTGGCAATGACATTCAAATCTAGCCAAATGAACCCACGTGTGCTTGGTAATGCGGTGTCTTACCCATGAGCTAACGCGGAAATTGGCAATAAGAGGATATCAGGGGTGGGATTGGGAGCGTGGTCTGTCGGGTCAGTTCGGCCCAGCTGACTAGGTGTATGGTGGAGAAACCAGTCAGTTGAAGCAATGCTTGTTGTCTTGAGTTTACGTGAGAAGTAATAGATACATATGTCGTCACACAGTCACACACATATACTCCCCGTTCCGCACAGCGCTTAGCGCAGATCTTAGCGCTAAGACGACCGTAACTTACGACAATCGTAGCGCTAAGATTACTTTTTGGAACGGGGCCCAGATTATACCCAGACGGTCGAGACATAGCTGGATACCCATGAAGATCCGGGCTAGGATGGGTCTTCAGCAACCCATGATGGCCGGAAGAGGCGACTAAGGGGATCGAGTGGTCAGGCTTGCTGACTTGGTTGTATGTCATCGTTTCCTAATTGCGTAGCTGTAGTTGAACGGTGTACTTCTGGGGTTGTAACACGTGTTCAGAACGTCCAGTCAGTGCGAGGGAACAAACGTTGAACATAGTTACACTCACCTGTGCAACGTCTCCAAACGTGTTGCGTGTATTTGCGTCAATGTTCGTCCCACACCATAGAAATATCTGTCGCAAACAAATGACATGATTGTAAAGTGAGAAACACGCTTAGAATTATATACATTTCAGTGGAAAAGATACTATCTGTCATCATTAACCTAGCCATTTCAATAATTCAGAATTTCACTTTAATAAACTTCCATTTGGTAGGCAACTACCATCATGGTGACAGTCAGGCAGTAAGTACAACCGCCAACTTGCCTCGAAGAAACTGTCCAATACCAGTTCAATATACAAAACATTAACCGGTGAAGGTCTGAATGAGTCAGTATGGTTTTACGCCGCTTTTAGCAACATTCCAGCAATAATACGGCGGGGCACACCAGAAATGGGCTTCACACATTGTACCCATACGGGGATTCGAACCTTCGGCGTGACGAGCGAACGCTTTAACCATAAGGCTAACCCACCGCCCCCCGGCGAAGGATTGTACATGATTGATGTATTGAAGCGATACCACTAACAATGGATGGCGTGTGACTCAAGCATTCGACAATCAAACAAGGGAAATAAATATATGTGATAATACGCTCCAGCTCTCCACACTTTAACTTGGCCAAGGAGACGAGTTTCAGGCGGCTGTAAAGTAAGCAATGATCGTCACTACTGGTAATGTTTCACCTTCTATAGAGCAAATCGACATCAATCACCATGGTTAGAAGAAACTTACCATTTGTTTGGAAGACAAATGGCGGTACGCTTCTTCCCCGACATGACCGATTGATAAATTCCCCCCACGAAAAGAGGATAGTGTACTCGAAGTCTGCGTGTGATTTTTTAAATGCAAATTCATCAACGTTAAGTCTCGAGACTGAGATTCAAGAGTTTCACCGCTGTGACCGAGGCTCCACTGCAGACAGTATGTATGAAGTAGCTTTCTCTCATGCAGACACCAATCATACTAAAGCTGGGGAGGTCAGGCCTGGGACAAATACCTGGTCAAATGTGTCGAGGAGCATCAAGTCCTGTTCTGTGAAATCCTGTGAACAGATCGATGACGAGTCAGGGAGGTGTAGACGGGGAAGGTCAAAGTTCACCACAACAAGTGCTTCCACTGAAGTAGCCATCAGACTTCACCCCAAAGTCAGCTTTACTTACGAGAACATGATACTTATCGTTAACTTAATTACGTATGCTGCATTAAGTCGTATACGTTACACGATCAGACTTGACGAACAGAGGTTGACATTATATGACATACAATTCTAAAGCTGCCCACGCAGCCATACACACCTCTTGACTGAAGTCAATTGTCTCATCAAAGCTAAGCCCAGATACTTCGACACAACAGTGGAACAGGCGGGGATTCCTTCTTTCTAGGCGCTGAAATATGCCGAACACGTGTACAACAACTGGTTACATTGTCAGTACGTCTGACTATTATTTCCATGAAATTGAGAATTGTAAGGAAGGAGATTATTGTTGTAGTCACAGTGGTATTGTAACCTGTCTGTGAAGTTCTCAATTCTGATCAGACAAACCAGTTGGCCACTATGCAGGAAGTTATGGAACGATGACAGACTTGGCCACAGTTGGGAGTACTATTGTAGCATGTGACTGGGGACCTGTTACGCCAGGAATCCCTGGAACATTTTTTCTGATACATGGAGTGATTATTCGAGGAAGGTTACCGTGGTGATGTACTCTGCTTCATACTGGCGTCTACCGCCCAGCACCGACCAAAACACCTCCGTCTCCTTCGCCTCCGTCACTATGTCGTAGTCGTACATTCTACAACAATGGAGCAACACCTACATACACACACGCCATGTTGTTAGTTTAGGATCCGCACCAGCAACATGTAGAACACACACACAGACACACACACGCGCGCGCACACAGACAGACAGACAGACAGACACGCACGCACGCACACACACACACGCAAAAGTATCGTAAATGGCTCGTGAGTGCTTTTGTGGCCACAGAACGACGACGTACGTTAATGCGAAATTGAGAACGATAATGTACTTTAATGTGAAATTGAGAACGACAATGTACCTTAATGCGAAATTGAGAACGACAATGTACTTTAATGTGAAATTGAGAAAGATAATGTACTTTAATGTGAAATTTAGAACGATAATGTATGTTTCAACATGACACTGAAAATCAGTACGACCTACTTGCACGGATGAAGATATCCAAGGATGTATTTGGCGTATTCCCTCTCAGGGCCACCAGAACGCTGCAACAGTCCAAGGTCACAACACGTATACCTGTCTGCTGACAACGGGTGCTTGTTTGTGATTTTTAGCACAATTACGCTTTCACATTATGGCAATACATTATGTTGAGATATCAAGAAATGGATACCAACACACTTAAAATAAACTTAAACAAAGCGAGAAAATTAGATAAATTGCCATTGAATTGTCAGTCACTGGTTATCACGTGGAGAGTTATAACTCTCACAAACAGTCTCCGAGAGGGATGCCTGGGTAAATGGGGAGTAACTGGATGAATCATAATCTGGTATCTGTGCATATGGAGGCGCTCGTCCAGAATCCTGACAATGTGGCTTCACATCAAGGCTTACAGGTTTTCTTACAATTTGACATAGCTTAAGGAAGACGCTTTTCGACAGAAATTATTCAAATTAGTTACACAATAACTAATATTACGACCATATAAGCATGGTCATAACACGTAGAAAGTTTACAACATATCGTCACAATAAATGATGTTCTCTTGCACGTACCCGTCCATACCACAAAAAACACTCATCAGGGGAGATAACCACGAAAGCTGCCGACGAATTGAGTGACGTTGCTGTAGGCGGTACCTGGAAAACACAACAGAGGCCTGAGCGTTCTTTTGACTTACATATTTAGGGGCAGCAATGATCGTAAATGGAAAATAATCATTTCTCGGGACCAGCCCACCACGCCTTCGCTTCTTAATGTTATCATTAAAACGTATAACAGATTCTGCCAGTATCAGTGTTTACCTGAGCTACTCTGATGTTCCCCTTGATAAACTCCCGCACAGAGAACACTTGGACTGACGGGGACGCTTCCTCCAGGTCTGTATCGAACTGTACATATAATGTGACGAATCAATGATAATACTTCAGATGTTACTAAAGTTTTGCAGTAAGGATGATATTGAAGATGACTATCACGTTTTACTTGTTAGTCCATGGTATGTCGATATAAGAAAGACATTCTCAATGAATAATCTTTGCAGATGCTCATATTCATACATTCTGCTTTAATTAATGCTTTTAAGGAGAACCGACCGCAGTGTAATTGAATTAAGAAATCTAATCTATCGATGTACCTTTTTCATGTCACGAATTTGAGGATATCGATGAAGCAATGACGTTGTGTGTACCTTTATGTATGTATCTCAGTGAAATGGATCCTACATGGAAACAGTCATTGTACTCTTGGCCAACAGCCTGCCCAGTATTGTGAATACAGTATTCACTATAACGGTCTGCACTGGTGACATTATCGCATCTTTTACGTTTCTAACATGTTTTCGTAGTGTATGAATAAAATCAACCTTACGACAATCATTGAATTTCCCAGGGCGTTCAGCATGTGACTGGGTTCTTTTCCATCTAAAACACGCACCTAAAACAAAATCAATATTCAGCACATCATGCTCCCCAATATCTGATTTGTTGAAACAGATACAGAGATAAATGTAATAGTCATTTGGCACACAGATGAGTGATTGACTTTGGTTTTACGCCGCTTTTAGCAATATTCAAGCAATAAGATGGCGGGGGACACCAGAAATGGGCTTCACACATTGTACCCATGTCGGGAATCGAACCTGGGTCTTCCGCGTGACGAGCGAACGCTTTAACCACTGGGCTACCCGACCGCCCCTTACACAAATGATCCGATGACTTGTTGACATAGATTCCTTACAAAAGGCATTTGGCTATATTTGGGTAACAATTTCCAAAATGGCATCTCTTTGAGATTGACGCAATCGGATATCACCTGACCTCATTAACATACGATAATAGCTGAATGACAATTTTCGTACTTAAGTGTACATTGTTGTGCCTTGTGTACGAAGGAGCAAGTCGGAATCACCACCTTTCTTATGTATGTACCCCTTTACAAACGATCAGTGTGAAATGTAATGGGCGGCTATCCCCTATACCCTATGGGTACTAGTTGTCACCTGAACAGCACCCCGATCTACACTTTTACGACATGGTTCCCTACATTTGCAGAATCGTTGTTACAGCCAGAGCGAGTCCTTTTGATGGCACACGACAACAGTTCATTTAGAATTTAGAGACAAATTTAACTGATAAGTTTGTGAAACATTTCCTGCTTTATCTACTGTCGTTCAGACGTAACGTACCAAGGCGACATTGTGGCTGTATGCCTCCTCCATCACCATCGCCAACTCCACGATCCTCGTCCTGTCTGAGGCGGAGGTCTTACACCCCTGAGACGAGAGAACATAGCAATTAATTACATAACGCACGTTCGATTAGTAACATCTGAGTGACCTGAGTCAACCCAGGGTTCCCCATTTCTGGCAGCCCGGGTTTGACTAGCTTCAACCTGAGTCAAGGGCAACTTGGACAGTACACGAAATAAAACGCACAAAATGTAACCTGGTAATAATGGTTGCCAAGAGAAAAAGAAACACAATATCGATTGCTAGCCATAGTTAATGCATATTCATTTTGTTCGGGAAAGCAGAGGTAACTACATTCTTTGTTAATAACCACGACTCCCGTTTTCGGCGGGGGAGACTTTAAATACGAACGCAAATGTCGTACATCAAAAGTCGGCCTTCCTTTTGGCCTTCCTCTTGTCGGAACCTCACTTAACGAGTGTCTCATCCCACTAAATAATGCAATTTGCTCTTAACATACAAGAATGAAGGTGCAGACATTTTCAACGCATGGGACATGCATCGGACATCATTTTTGTCACTGATGCATCAAATTTCTAAATGTTCTATACATGTCTATTATAAAACTTTACTGAGGCCTAGTATGTTGTAACCTTGATCAAACAACCTCTGAGCAAGAGTCGTATGACGCTCTTTGAAATCTTGGCACATAGAGAATGCTCGATTGTATCACAAAAGTTGGGAAATGTAAACGCCAAAGGCTGGAGATTCAGGAATATTGCTCGACATGCAGGGAGAGTTGACTGTTGGGAAGCTGAAGCCATCAATCTTGTCATACCGTCTTGTGGAGAATGTTTTGTCACTCGGAAGTTTAATGCATAGATCTACATATGCAACAGATGAGGTGGGAAATCACTTCAAACAGTGCCACCTATGCATTGCCTCTTTGTACTCCGCAGTAAAGTAAAAGTACTGAATTCAAAAGTGTATCCCACCTTCCTTTGGAAGAATATTTCTCCCACTGATGAGGTAAGAGATAGTTTAATGACACGATCCTTGCCGAGTTGATTCACATACTCCTATTGTTGATGGCCCTCAATTTCCAGCTTCTGAGATAGTGATGTGTTTGTATACATGGTTGCTATGAATGTTGGGCTTACCGTCCAGTAGTACAGGGTCCTTTTGCAATGCCGGTCAGCTAGGTGCTGGTTGTTAATGATGTAGCACTGGCCGTTTGAGAAAGTACCGTTATCCCATTTCTCCACACACTCAAGGGAGTTTTCCTTCAATACGTACACCTCTAGCTGCTGAAATGCCAACATATACATAACGTAAATATAGACCATAGATGGCCAGGGCTCTTATAACACAGGGGTGTTCATGGAACCCAAATATTACTCAACAACACTTAGAACTCTCACCGAATATCTGCAAGGTATTTACATATCCTAAGCAAATTAGACTGAAGCTTCTTCGTGTAAAACAATAGATCTTATGCCACCCCAAGCCCTCTGAAATTAGCCTTTTAGCACATTTTGCCACATTTGTGTACTTGTGTCACTAATCACTTACAGAACAATTTGTCAAAGATGTCATTTGAAGTGGACCAAACTGCGGTCTAACCTCAAAACGATGGCACCACAGACGTGAATACGGTAAGTCAATATGATGTGACAGCAGTCATGAACCAACCTCGTCTGTGAAGATGACATTGTTCTCCTCCACTGTATCTTCTGACAATGTGTCGGAGACTTTAGCTACAGTTCGCTTGCTGGATCGGGAGAACAACGCCCTACCTGTGTGCAACAGGACGCAATCATACCAATCATCTTCCCGTGTATAGCGGACTATCACAGAACATAGGACAAGGCGGTCATTCAGATGTATGTGGATAATGTTTTGTAAATCATTCATTACATGTGAAAATTATCCTTAATACATCGACATGAAGTGAATGACTATTGTTTTTCGCCGCGTTTAGCAATATTCCAGCAATATTAGTGTCCATGGCCCATTAAAATCAGGACAATGGTCTACGATAAAGAACGGGGGCGCAAAGAGACCAACCATTGGATATTCTTGAGGGGGGGGGGGGGGGGATATTTCAGCTACAGCTGCAAAACCATATATATTTTTTTAATTACACCTATTACCCAAAACATATTGCAACGATGTATTTTTCTGGCAGACAATTTAATTTTTTTTAAACAATACGAAGCAAAGGGTCGGCCTGTGATTTCTTTGTGAAATGAGGCCATTAAGCACTGTAAATATGTTAGCTAGATATCCGTGAACACGACCACTATGTTTGAGCAACATACCCATATTGCCGGCACTGTATTTCCTGGTCTGACTCTGCGGCCGATCTCTCCAGTCATTGAAGGCCTGGCGGAACACTAACGGCTCGTGTCCCTCCAGAACACGGGACACAGTCACGTTGTCAGGGTACTCTTTGTGTTCTGAGAATGTCTACCCAGGTAAAACAACACAGTGAAATAGTCAACAGGAACATGGGATAAGGCAAGAAGGTTACGACAGAGCCAAATTCCGTGACCTAGATATCATATAAACTATTTTATTATTTTATACATTAGACAATGCTTCATAACGTAAAGTGAATATGAGTGAATAGCCCTGAAAGACACACCTTTCCTCTTGAGATAGCATTGCTGACCTCGGAGACCGGTGCGTGAGATCCTACCCATAGAAACACTGGGTTGTCCGGTCCAGTGTCCAGCAGGTAGCACGACTACAGCAAATTAGATTAATACTCATCCCTAGACATATACTCCTTGTTCACAATACGTATATTTGATAAATTCCCTGAATAAAGCCATTAACTATGTATTTACCTCTACCAGAAAAAGAGTTACATTAAAAATTATATATTTGCGTCCTTTAGTTATGTCAGGATCTGCTGGTTGGGGTTTCGAATCAGATATTCGCCCTGGTTATGACCCATGGTTTGTCACAGCCATACTCTTGTTAACAGAAAATGTCCACTAAAATGTCCCCTAATAACTGTACCCACATGAAACTAACAGGCAGTTATAAAATTGAAATAACCTGACAAACTCAATCAGAATGAGGAGACAAGACGGTTGCATGAACCTACCGAGGACACGAGGTATTTGTACTGGAGCGGTTTCCGTGCAGCGTAGGGCATGTCATACAACACCCGATCTCCACTCACCCTGGGGAAAAGAGGCGTTAACGTGATATCAGTATTCACACAACGCTGGCAATGGAGGAAAGAAACGGCTTGTTACTGAAAATTATAACAAATCTCCTTTTAGAGACACCAACTAAATATTTCCTTCGCTTCCTTACCGGCGAAGCGTGATAGTTTCGTCGGTGTGGTCAATGCCCGTGTGTCCGTTAGTCTCGCGGTGGACTGGTGACTCCTCCCGCTCCTCGTCCAGCTTCTTCAGGAATGTCTTGTTCAGTTCTTCGTCTTTCTCGTCTACAGAATAACATGGTTACCTTCAATGAAACATCTATAATGACAGACAGACCTGGGACTTTTAATATGACTGACTAGCATCTGATCAGTCAGGTATCCTCACTTGTAGTTATGTCGGTGTTTACTGACATTTTCAAATGAGACTTTAAACAGGATTATGTTGTAAACAAGAGAATTTGAGAATCATGTGATAGAAATAGTTTAATAATCTTGGAAAAATGAATTTAAGCACGGTACCACTGGTGTCCTACAACGCATAAGTTTTACCTCCCAATTTTATTTATAGATGAAAGAAAATAAAACCTCCTTTGACATATAGTTCTATTGGTGGTAAGGATCCGTCTAAATACTTCAGTAACCCATGCTTGCAATACGAGGCGACTAACGGGATCGGCTGGTCAGGCTTGCTGACTTGGTTGATGCATGTCATCGTATCCCAACTGCGTTGATCGATGCACATGATTTCAATCATTAGGTTGTCTGGTCCTGACTCGATTATTTACAGACCGCCGTCATAGAGCTGGAATATTGCGGAGTGCGGCGTTAAACAACAAACAAACAAAACAAACAGTGTTACAAGCGAAAGTGTAGGGAATGGTTGTTCAGTGATGACTATGGAACTGCAACATTGGGTCATCTTATGGAAGTAATCAAGCAAACAAAAAACATTATTCTAAATATGTTACAAGTTATAAGGTCTGTCTTCTCGTGTAATATTCATGATGACAGTGGTGTCACATACCAATAACGACAACATGCGCTTTTCCTTTCCTCTGCCAATTCCGTATTCGCCGGGCCACTTGAATAGCCTGAAATCAAAGTATGGGTGATATCATGTCCTTACAGTGACGTCACACATCACATACTCGTAGTATGGGGGAAATGCTATGGGGAGACTGCGGCTGTTCCTCACCTTGACCCGTGTGACGTAGCCGCACTTGCTGCCGATCCAGACGTAGACGCGAGGGTAGCCGTCCAGGATGACCGACACCGAAGGGTCAAGTGCTGATACCGTCGGCCGCTCCTGGAACACACCGTCATGAAGTGTGTGCAAGGTAATGCATATTAATTAATTATTTGTTTATAATTTAGATTAATATTTTAATTGAAAAGTGCTATACAAACTATAATACTTCAGATGTATATGCTCCCTGCACTTCGACAAATTAAACTGAAATTCTCGACATGTTGAAGTGTGTAGGAATATTTTGTAGCAATATTCCAGGTAAATAACGTCGGTGATGTCAATTATGTGCTTCACATGTTGCCCCAATTTAACGGAATGACGAAGGGAGATTTAACCACGAGACTACCCTACTGCCCTAGCAGGTACATACGCAGGCCGCCCTGACATGTTTCCTCCCCGTGACGACGTACAGCCGCTTGACGTAACGGGCGGTTCTGGAGAGGCTGGTGTGGGGTCCTCCCTCCAGATACCTGGAACACAAGACCACATCCAGATGGAGGGTACTGGGAGGGGACGGGACCCTCATACAACATTAGCAAATAACACTAATAGTATGCATGTAGATATGACATATATTCGCCTTGGTTTGAATTCCTATAGGTCTAATATATTGTTATGAAATAATGTAGTGCCTGTGCTTCCTGTGGATGGAGGGAAGGCGATTTTCTACCAGGCTTATACACGCACTGATAAATATATGTACTTTGCATGTGATGGAATTACTTCAAATGAGAATATAAAAACGTGTCCTGTCTCTAGTGACGTTATATCACTGATGACAACGTGTTAGTGATACCTGAAGCACGTCGGTACTTACACAAGTCCCTCTGGGAAGAGGCGCAGAAAGCATAACGACTCATGGCCCTGCACCTGTCAAAACACAGACACGTGATGACACCTAGTTACATGGTAACATGCGTTACGTTTGGGTAAAATGAATAAATGAAATCCTATAAAATAGTTACTCGAAGGGTATATGTATATATATAAACGTCATACTTCCTTGGAGAATATACTGGCTCGACATATTGTGGCGTCCAACTCGTGCGCAAGGTCATGGATGTTGCTGACGTCATTCTGAAATGAGTCAGTAGACAGGACGGTAGGGTCACCGTGGATACATTCAAAACATGTACTCTCAAGTCGAATAACGACTGCGACATTGACAACAAATATGTCAATGAACGTACCTCTGTCGCATTCCTTCCGGTCCAGAAGTGTAAGGAGGACGTCTTGTCCAGCGAGATCTGAAATCAGAACCAAACTGAGTGAACACACCATATGAGACGTACCGGCCATATTTAATATACGCACCATCTTAGACGTACCCGTCATATTCAATATACACACCATCTGAGGCGTACCGGCCATATTCAACATACACGCCATCTTAGACGTACCGGCTATATTGAATATACACGCCATCTTAGACGTACCGGCCATATTCAATATACACACCATCTGAGGCGTACCGGCCATATTCAACATACACGCCATCTTAGACGTACCGGCCATATTCAATATACACACCATCTTAGACGTACCGGCTATATTCAATATACACACCATCTTAGACGTACCGGCCATATTCAATATACACACCATCTTAGACGTACCGGCCATATTCAATATACACACCATCTTAGACGTACCCGCCCTATTCAATATACACACCATCTTAGACGTCGCTGACATATATACACACCATCTTAGACGTACCGGCTATGTTCAATATACACACCATCTCAGACGTACCGGCCATATTCAATATACACACCATCTTAGATGTACCGGCCATATTCAATATACACACCATCTTAGACGTACCGGCCATATTCAATATACACACCATCTTAGACGTACCCGCCCTATTCAATATACACACCATCTTAGACGTCGCTGACATATATACACACCATCTTAGACGTACCGGCTATGTTCAATATACACACCATCTCAGACGTACCGGCCATATTCAATATACACACCATCTTAGACGTACCGGCCATATTCAATATACACACCATCTTAGACGTACCGGCTATGTTCAATATACACACCATCTCAGACGTACCGGCCATATTCAATATACACACCATCTTAGACGTACCGGCCATATTCAATATACACACCATCTTAGACGTACCGGCCATATTCAATATACACACCATCTTAGACGTACCCGCCCTATTCAATATACACACCATCTTAGACGTCGCTGACATATATACACACCATCTCAGACGTACCGGCCATATTCAATATACACACCATCTTAGACGTACCGGCTATGTTCAATATACACACCATCTCAGACGTACCGGCCATATTCAATATACACACCATCTTAGACGTACCGGCCATATTCAATATACACACCATCTTAGACGTACCGGCCATATTCAATATACACACCATCTTAGACGTACCCGCCCTATTCAATATACACACCATCTTAGACGTCGCTGACATATATACACACCATCTTAGACGTACCGGCTATGTTCAATATACACACCATCTCAGACGTACCGGCCATATTCAATATACACACCATCTTAGACGTACCGGCCATATTCAATATACACACCATCTTAGACGTACCGGCCATATTCAATATACACACCATCTTAGACGTCCCGGCCATATTCAATATACACATCATATTAGACGTACCCGCCATATTCAATATATACACCAAATAAGTCTACCGGCCATATTTAATATACATATCATATCAGACGCACGCGCTATATTCAATATACACACCAACTTTGACGTACCGCCCATATTCAACAAACGAACAAGCAAAATTGGCATATTCAGCCCATCAAAGTGATGATCATAGAAATAAGTTGAATCTTATTACTTAAAAAAAATATCAACTTTACGGTTATATGTCATAGCTAAGAGATATTTCGAAAGTTCAATTGTAAACTTGTCACGAACCGATTGATTAGTGGGGGCTACAAATTGCACATGAAACAGCTGGGTTTACAAATAGAAATGTCATTCCGTGTTTAAGTATATTGATGCACTGAATAATATTCATTACAAAGCTGTCATTACAAACTGTTACCGGGGGCAGCAATATTGCCACTTCTACAAACGTGGAAACCGACTTGTCTATACGTTTAGAACTATCCTCAAACCGATCTTCAGACTGAGACATAAATTGGGAATGGATTCGTCAAATACGGACGTATATGTGTACATATCCTCTTCCATACAGACCGCGTCTTAGACTAACGATTCCGTGGAGCGGACATAATGAAGCGATTCTTCGCTTGACATTCAGTATTTGTCCGGATCAAAAGTCTCCCTAATTCATGAGGTAGGGCGGTCCGGCTCCTTAGCCTCTGTCAGGCAACTCCATCTAATACCCTCTCGTCACAGGAACTGCCACAACGTTACTTACGGGGATCGACGTGTGTAAATAGTTCGATTGTGAACATACGGCAGAGTCTGAAAGCTACATAAAGCCAGTCGCTGGGATACAGACAGGCATGTAGCTAGCTATATGGACTGACAGACGGTGGAACTAGCAGGCTGTTGGGCAGGCTCCAAGTTTGCATGAAATTCAATAGGATATGCGTTCAGTTACAGAAAACCATTAATCAATAAGTCTTAAGAGTCCAGGAGACCTGTCCACAAAGGTCTCAGCGCAAGACTGAAGCACTTCAACGTCCTGCTACACGTGTACATTCGCGATACTCTGCATACTTGATAGAGGCATATATTACTATTTTAGTTCACATATATTTTCTCAATTTAATCTATTTACGAGGCATATCATTTAATTTAGTCAGGCAAACAGACAATTCAGTAACAGACCACCAGCCCATAATACATTAATATAAATCACGCAGGCTGGTGTATATATCAATTTTATTCATGAAAAAATAGGTTTTTACGTGTTTTACAATTTGTAGGGTTTTGCCATGAACACGCCCACATTAGGAACGACAATATTATCACCATTTTGCATAAGCTGTGTGAATTTCGATATTCAGTGTAATATGGCGAGAGGTATTTTCTTCGTATACTGACATTTTATTTAATTTAAGTGTACACAAACAAAAGAATATAAGCAGTTTTATCCAGGATTATAACCTCCGATGACGTCATCCTATTGTTCTATACAGGGTCTTCTCCTTTCAGCAAGGTTGGTTTGTTGTTTAACGCCGCACTCAGCAATATTCCAATATATGGCGACTCGATTATTTTCAGACCGCCGTCACATAGCTGGAATATTGCGGCGTTAAACAACAAACCAACCAACCAATATATCGCGGCGGTCTGCACATAATCGACTCTGGACCACACAATTCAGAGGTTGTTGGGGTTATGATCATCAATCCACGCAACACGATGACATGCGTCAACCAAGTAAGCGAGCCTGACCACCCGATCCCGTTTGTCGCCTCTTACGGCAAGCATGGGTTACTGAAGACCTATTCTACCCCGGATCTTCACCAATCGAGTTGAAAGCCGGGAGTGACTTGAATATTTATAGGGAGATTTTACTCTCAAGTAAGACCTGCTTTGATGTTTTACTTGTTTTAAGTAAGATTTGAGACTTTAATTTGAATCATAAGTAAGACTGGCTTAGATGTTTTGCTTTTGAACTTAGTCTATATCAATTACTTCGCATCGAATGTTGATTTTCGACTGGCTAGAAGTCAAGATTTTTTCAAAAGGGAAAATTTCATGATGTGAATCGAACATGCAACCACATATAACCTGGCTTTTTTTGTAACTCAATATTTCCCCACTGGGCCACCGGGGCAGGTGATGAAGTTTTTAAAGTTACACTGTGCACATGATTTGTGACAGCGTGCGTGGCCCACCGGTTCGTGCACGTGCAATACACGTAATGCCCTTGCTGCACGCGCTAGGATATTAATGAGCGTTAGACTAGCCCATTTTGAAATAGGGGTTTATGTTTTAGATAAATACAAAGTACAATATTTGATCGATGCGTGTATCTGTCTGAAAAGATGTCGGTTTAAAAGTCGGTTCACGGCCTCCGATTCGGTCTTGGTGAGAGTTGTAAGACCTCCGAATACCAAGACCGAATTCGACGTCGTGAACCTTTACATAATGCCATTTGGCATTTTACATACTTCTTTTGATTTTGTATGTAATTGTTTATTTGATACAGTATAGCTGTGTGGTACACGCTGCTATTTTCCATGACTATTATGGTCCGCATGTCTTAAAGGGGACACCAAGTAGATGAGAAAGCAACTATATCTCTTCATATCTGGTCTGAACACTATTTTCTCTGATCTTTCATAGTTAACTTGTTCAGAGTATCAAACCCTTCACCTCAAATGACGTTTGCATCATGATCAAAATATATCTATCCTCTGTAGAATGTACTTGAGTCACTTGTGCCGCAGGGAGTTTGATTGTATGGTATTTTAACAAATAAAAGCGACAAAACCTATTCGGGCCATATCATAAACATCTGTTGTGAATCACTGTCAAATAATGATGGAACCAGGAGTTCTGCCAGAAGAGTCCTCCGTCCTGTGTAATTTCAAAATGTGCGAGGCAATGTCAAAATGTATGCCAAAATGTGACAAACTCACTCCTGTAACCTAGGCCGGATACAGATAACATATTGCGGCTGGACAATATCAAAGTACACATCATGTTTCACGCAGTGTGATGAGCATTCTCGACATGGTCAGTGTATGTCGTCAAACACCAAGGTAACGGTTTCAGTCATCTGGCTGTCATTCGCGTGTGGGTTTACGACGCTTTCCAAGACCAACCACACTCCTCGCCAGAGATGGAAACAGGCATATCACGACGTTTGTTCGCGTGCACTTAACCTATCGGGACTATTGAATACAGGGTGTCAACCTCTTACATACACACACCTATAACTTGATCGATTTTGTGTTATTTCCTATCCACCCTGCCTACCAGAGCGTAACCTACCAGAGCGTAACCTACCAGACAATCACTCCCTTCGACCCTGTATATTGATGTCTAAATGCCAGGGACTCAAATACATTACATGTCTGTGGATTTAATGCTTATCTCCAAATTGCTACTCTTGGAGGCCGTGGTTAATGAGCTTATTTGTGAAAACTGATTTCATGCATCAAGTCACAACAACTATACCTGATTTCATGCCCAATACCTCAGCTAAGGTTGGAACACAAGGTAATAATACAGAGAACTCTTCAAGCGTGATCCTTTATGGCTTTGATCTCAGTGAACAGAACACGATATTTTAACACCATTTTTATAAAGTATTCAGAAGTGGATTATTGTTCAAATGCAAACCAAAATGGGAATGGTTTTCTGCAAAAGAATAGATTCCCTCGATGTGGATATATACCCGATTTTCATATTACGCCAGTTAATATGTCATGCCATGACAGGTCTCCTGATGTCATGTGAAAGAATCGTGAGTTGTAACTTCTGTTGTGTAGTATATTATGTAAAGCTCCTATAGCATGCATCACATGATTGGGAAATATGTTCTTATTACCTTAGTATTTCTGTAGGGGATAGTCTGGATTTAATTACATTTCGCAGTACGAAGAGACAGCATTGTATCGTTGCGTTTTCTGTATATTGCATTATAAGGCACGGCCAGCACATTCAGATACAGCCTGATTGCCTGGCCCGAGAAGAGGCGAATCTAACATATCAACAGGAATTCAGAACCATTTAAGCTCCCTCACTAGTTTATGTCAATATCGGTTGGAGCCTTACCCCGATCTGATATTGATAGAAGATTTGATATGACATCCATGGTATGCAGAAACATGAAGCGAGGTACTAAAGTGGACAATCATCGGCTTTGTGGGATCTCTCAGGATTTGTCACAAAGCTACTCGCTAAGGAATGACTGTGAATGCTACTTTGTGCTTGGAGCAACAATGACTATAATACATCCATTGTACCAGCCACGTTATCCAGTATTATACAAACCTGACGTCTTCGTGCAGATATAAAAGTGATATAGTTCAAAAATATATTTGAGCACAGACATTTTACAGATAAACGTACATTAAAATATGCCTAAAATAGATATCAAGTGATCCACATGACAACTTTGTTTATATAGCTAACTCGACTTCTGCGCTAGATATCCGTGTGCCCCTTTATTCAAACGTCTATTTTTTTCGTAGGTCTGTTTCTGATAACAGCAAATTTCTTGTAACAAATGTTATATTTGGGATAACACTTTATTAGTAAAGTACAGATTCTAATACTGTTGGGGTTGAGTCCCATCCGGGATTCGAACCCACACTGCCAGCAACCTTATCGCCAGCACACAAAGTCAGCGATCTAACCCACTCAGCCACCGAGTCTTCCACAAAAATGAAAGTCCGACAACTGGTAGTCTAGATCACGTACTTTGTGTGCCCCTCTGACAAGTGTAAATTGGCACGGTTCCCATGTCCGAAACCAATGAACACACAATACCATTCAGAAAGTGGTCCCCCAGAGGGGTACACAAAGTACGTGATCTAGACTACCAGTTGCCGGACTTATAACATTTGTTACATCTGACCACGTTCTAAATGACATTGTGTGTTCATAGCTAATTTCTTATTGTGTAAAAAGGTTCTCAAGGGAAATGTGCATCTAGGGGACATATTCCGATCCGACTTCCTGTAGTACAATGTAGGGAGGAACCGATCTGACTTCCTGTAGTACAATGTAGGGTGGAACTGATCTGTCTACCTGTAGTACAATGTAGGGAGGAACTGATCTTCTCACAATGTAGGGAGGAACCGATCTACTCACCTGTAGTACAATGTAGGGAGGAACCGATCTACTCACAATGTAGGGAGGAACCGATCTACTCACCTGTAGTACAATGTAGGGAGGAACCGATCTACTCACCTGTAGTACAATGTAGGGACTAACTGATCTGCCTACCCGTTGTACAATGTAGGGAGGAACTGATCTACCTACCTGCAGTACAATGTAGGGACTAACTGATCTGCCTACCCGTTGTACAATGTAGGGAGGAACTGATCTACCTACCAGTAGTACAATGTAGGGACTAACTGATCTGCCTACCCGTTGTACAATGTAGGGAGGAACTGATCTACCTACCTGCAGTACAATGTAGGGACTAACTGATCTGCCTACCCGTTGTACAATGTAGGGAGGAACTGATCTACCTACCAGTAGTACAATGTAGGGACTAACTGATCTGCCTACCCGTTGTACAATGTAGGGAGGAACTGATCTACCTACCAGTAGTACAATGTAGGGACTAACTGATCTGCCTACCCGTTGTACAATGTAGGGAGGAACTGATCTACCTACCTGCAGTACAATGTAGGGACTAACTGATCTGCCTACCCGTTGTACAATGTAGGGAGGAACTGATCTACCTACCAGTAGTACAATGTAGGGACTAACTGATCTGCCTACCCGTTGTACAATGTAGGGAGGAACTGATCTACCTACCTGCAGTACAATGTAGGGACTAACTGATCTGCCTACCTGTTGTACAATGTAGGGAGGAACTGATCTACCTTCCTGCAGTACAATGTAGGGACTAACTGATCTGCCTACCCGTTGTACAATGTAGGGAGGAACTGATCTACCTACCTGCAGTACAATGTAGGGACTAACTGATCTGCCTACCCGTTGTACAATGTAGGGAGGAACTGATCTACCTACCAGTAGTACAATGTAGGGACTAACTGATCTGCCTACCCGTTGTACAATGTAGGGAGGAACTGATCTACCTACCTGCAGTACAATGTAGGGACTAACTGATCTGCCTACCCGTTGTACAATGTAGGGAGGAACTGATCTACCTACCAGTAGTACAATGTAGGGACTAACTGATCTGCCTACCCGTTGTACAATGTAGGGAGGAACTGATCTACCTACCTGCAGTACAATGTAGGGACTAACTGATCTGCCTACCCGTTGTACAATGTAGGGAGGAACTGATCTACCTACCAGTAGTACAATGTAGGGACTAACTGATCTGCCTACCCGTTGTACAATGTAGGGAGGAACTGATCTACCTACCTGCAGTACAATGTAGGGACTAACTGATCTGCCTACCCGTTGTACAATGTAGGGAGGAACTGATCTACCTACCTGCAGTACAATGTAGGGACTAACTGATCTGCCTACCCGTTGTACAATGTAGGGAGGAACTGATCTACCTACCTGCAGTACAATGTAGGGACTAACTGATCTGCCTACCCGTTGTACAATGTAGGGAGGAACTGATCTACCTACCTGCAGTACAATGTAGGGACTAACTGATCTGCCTACCCGTTGTACAATGTAGGGAGGAACTGATCTACCTACCTGCAGTACAATGTAGGGACTAACTGATCTGCCTACCCGTTGTACAATGTAGGGAGGAACTGATCTGCCTACCTGCAGTACAATGTAGGGACTAACTGATCTGCCTACCTGTAGTACAATGTAGGGAGGAACCGATCTACTCACCTGTAGTACAATGTAGGGAGGAACTGATCTACCTACCAGTAGTACAATGTGGGGAGGAACTGATCTACTCACAATGTAGGGAGGAACCTATCTACTCACCTGTAGTACAATGTAGGGAGGAACCGATCTACTCACAATGTAGGGAGGAACCTATCTACTCACCTGTAGTACAATGTAGGGAGGAACCGATCTACTCACAATGTAGGGAGGAACCGATCTACTCACCTGTAGTACAATGAAGGGAGGAACCGATCTACTCACCTGTAGTACAATGTGGGGAGGAACTGATCTACCTACCAGTAGTACAATGTAGGGACTTACTGATCTGCCTACCTGTTGTACAATGTAGGGACTAACTGATCTGCCTACCAGTAGTACAATGTAGGGACTAACTGATCTGCCTACCTGTTGTACAATGTAGGGTGGAACTGATCTGTCTACCTGCAGTACAATGTTGGGAGGAACTGATCTACTCACAATGTAGGAAGGAACTGATCTACTCACAATGTAGGGAGGAACCGATCTACTCACCTGTAGTACAACGTAGGGAGGAACCGATCTACTCACCTGTAGTACAATGTAGGGACTAACTGATCTGCCTACCCGTTGTACAATGTAGGGAGGAACTGATCTGCCTACCCGTTGTACAATGTAGGGAGGAACTGATCTGCCTACCTGTAGTACAATGTAGGCCGTCCCCTCCAGAAGAAATCCGTGGTCGTTACCTTCCACCAGATGTAACCGTCGACCCTTAAACACAGAAAATATGCTTTCAGAAATGCGCAGGACACAACCCGGAATCGGAACATATCCTCCATTATTCAGTGTATTATATCTCCATTTTATTTTTATACCCTCACATGACGTCACCCCTCTATCGCGTCTATCTCGAACTTAGCACATTATTTCTCTGACTGTGAAAGTAATAACTTGGACGACTACATGTATGTTCAGCGTCGTACTTTCGACTCGGGCTTAAAACAAAGCTATGACGGCGAATGGGTTCATACAATGGAGATACACTGGTTTATCAAGGGTGGTCAATTGAAGGATAAACAAAAACTGCAGTAGAGACTTTTCAAAACTGTAATCATACATTCCAAACACGTGTATCTTGTTTTACGTGGGAAGATTATCATATGTTGAAATAGTGAGGTTAGGTGAAATGGGGTTTAACGTCGCGTCCAAGATTATCGCACGTATGTAGCGACGTGCATGCACGTGTGTGTGTGCGGCTGCTTGTACTAGTCCGGACTGATGTCGATTTATAGTGCTAGCTCATTGAGATACCATGCCGCAGTTTAACATGAATACCCCACACAGACACAGAAAACTGACTCCGAGCAGACCAGTCCTTGTTTTAGCCCCTTACTGCCGAGCCCCAGACAGAGTAACAACAAGTACCATCTTTTAACGTCTTTTGGTATGACGCGGCTCTCCGGGCGTACGCTCCACCTCTAGACCACGGAGGCGGTTGTTGAAATAGTGTATCTATATATCTACATACCACACAAGACGTTGTGGGGAGGATAGAACTTCCTACCCACGAACCATCCTGCTATCACTAGTTGTATGGAATATTTTAGAAAAATATGCTTTCACAAAATGAAGGTGTAAAAAAATAATCCCAGGAAGTAAATCTGGATTTGACCGTGGATCAGCAATGAATAATATCAACTGACTGGTTACGAATTGGAAACATGTCCAGTTGTTCTTTAAACATAAAACGTGAGAATAATGGTAATGTGTAACCAAAATAGTATTGAAAAGGTAATAGACATGCAACACACTGACATTTGAGAAACATTAGGCTGGTCGAACTCATTAGCAAGAAACAGTTTCTATTTCTAAGGCCACCTGGTCGGTGATGGTACTTCACTCCTGCTTGAATAGGATAACAACTACGTTTGTTTGCTTACTTGTTGTTTAACGCAGAAATATTTAAGTTATATGACGGAGGTCTTAAAATAATCGAGTCTGGACCAGACAATCCAGTGATTCATATCATGAGCATCGATCTACATAATTGGGATGGGATGCCATGCATCAACCAAGTCAGTGACCACCTGATCACGTTAGTCGCCTCTTACGACAAGCAGGGTGATAACAACTACGACCGGCAGTACATGCACTCTGATGTAATAACCAATTGTCACGGCAACGATGACATAGCTCAGCAATATGGTCAAGTGGTAGTAATCCATGTGATCAGCTGAAAAATCCTTGAAGTATTCGGGAAACAGTCAGTTTCAACACACTGACTAATACCATAAATGGTTAAAAAATATACTTGTATAATTAAACTAGTATGCAAAATGGGAGGAGACAAACCGGAAGTGAACCGATGATAGACACAAACATTACCAAACAAATGACTAATTAGTTTCAATCTGGATATTTTCATATTTCAACCACTTTTTGCATTTTTCAGATTAAACAACTTGAGAAAAGTGGGGATGACCCGTCTCTTAAAGCTGCCGGTATTTGTTATCGGGTGGGAATCTCCTTGAATCACCTCACCATGTTCCCTACACCTAACACATGAGTGGCAGACTGCTATGGTTTTGCTAAGATAAATCTGATTATCCATACGGTAATCAATGCCTGGAACGTAGACAGTCTAAATTCCACAGCCACAACAGATACTACCAGCGAGTGAAGGAGGTATCACGCCGTGAGTTTTAAGAAATAAAGCACCTGCATGTCGATAGGTACACGCTCTCTTAGTCCAATGATTCGCTTTTGAACTACGGAGCAAAATAGAACCCCGGTCCCTTTTATTTATCCCTGGAGATTCAGAGGCGGCATATGCTCCCAGTACCCAATACTTATCGTGAAGCTGCATCGGTGTGCATGGCGCAGAACCTGTGAAGATCCGGGTCAGGGTAGATCTTCAGCAACCCATGATTGTCGTAAGAGACGACTACGCTTGTCGCAGGAGGCGACTAACGGGAGGTCAGGCTCGCTCACTTGGTTGATGCATGTCATCGTATCCCAATTGCGTAGATCGATGCTCATGATATCAATCACTGGACTGTCTGGTCCAGACTCGGATTATTTACAGACAGCCGCCATTTAACTGGAATATTGCTGTGTGTGGCGTTAAACAACAAAAAGCAAAAGCCCCAAAACCATGGCGCAGACTTTAAAGGCCGTTGTATTAATATTTTACGACATTGGCGTAAATACAATGACCCACTCGCTTCAATCACTCTTAGCCCCAAGACAAGAGGCTGGGGACACTGACATCGCTCTGAGCGACACAATCCACTTTCAATTCCCTTACCTATCACAAGCAAAACGCCGACAATCTAATCTAACGACATCGGTAATGCATACCGCATCTTAACTGTATCTGAAAACTAATCTACCAAGAAAACACAACCGCCAGCAACACGTTGCAGCTTTCGTTGCCGTCAATAGACTTATGCGGCCCGATAAGAGGAAGCATAGACTGTCACAGGAGACCAATGCTGGGAAGTATGGATCACCGTGCCTTTCATCCAGCATACAGATGTTTGATACTTTGCCAGGGATGCTGGAGAGGAGGAGAGATGGAAGCATTTACTGTCCAGATAATGAGACCTGTTCTTGCTGTTACTGCATGGCATGCATGATAAGTAAGCTGCTGCAACCGCCCGTGTATTTAAAACCGATCGTGTATAGAAATCATGCACGATCCTCATAAAAAACGACAGTTCGTAAGAACAGTGAGGACAGTGAGCCTAGCAGAAAATCTACCAGCAATCGTATGCCAGCTTATAAGAAAGTGGCGCCCGCTTCACTCTCGTCTTCTCGTCTCTTGTGCAGATGATGCAACTGCCTCTCTAGAGTCTAGATAGCATCATCAAAAACTTCGATTGAACGATGCCCTCCCCGCCTAGTGCGTAAGTATCCAATCTTAAATGTGTTGTTGTGGTGGGGTTTTACAGCCATGAAGCCATAAAGAGTAGATCGGTATCCTGAAGCCATCGAATGCAGATATATAGTCAGCAATGGGTTCAGATAATGGTAGTTTTTCTTTTACCGGAATGGGGGTAGGGTAGGTGCTAATAGATCGGAGCATACTTCAAAAATACCTCCGGTATTTAACGTGGAATAAAGATTAGAATCTCTTCAGTTAATAAGGAAAATGAAGGTTTAATCTATCCTGAGGTATTGAGACATGACGTGTACTTGTAAGTCCATTTGGTGTTATCGATTTGCAGAGGCCATACACTCCCATCGAATCAACTTTGGCTGACAAAAAAAACCTATTTCATAAAACAGAAGGCATATTGATTGATTTATTTTTAAAATCTCTTTTGAATCCTACAAATCATAAGATATTAAGATTGATAGACCCATCTACGACTTTAATATAGCAGTGACAGTAAATAGATGGTATATTAAATGACATCTTGAGAAGCACCCATCAACCGAGTTTCATTAGGAGAGGAACAACAGTGCACTAACGACGGACCTGAAAAGCCTTTATTGAATTCTCGATGAAATTAATCATCTAATGATTAAGGTATAGTACGTAATCGCTTTAGAGAAATTAAGCGTTCACCGCCACGCGCTCACATGGACAAGCTTAAGGTACCGTCATTATAGGGACATGACGTCTTAATGTTTTAATGAAGTTAAAAAACATTGGGGACCTCCTCGAACATTGAGGATACAGTAATGGGGTTGAGTGAATGTGGGGACCTCCTCGAACAGTAATTATGTAATGGAGGTACCTCGAGTTTCCAGATGAAGAGTCCGGACCTGTCCAGGGACACCTCGCTGAAGGCGTCGATGGCTGCCCCTAGTCCAGATCCACTCATCGCAGACCCCAGGCGTCTCGAGGAAACACGTGACCGACAGGAAGCGCGGGTAGTCTGGTTACGGGGATAATCTGAAAACAATCGATAATGTAATAAACATACTGCATAATCAAGAAGATCGTGCTGCTCTACCAGTGGCGACATACTTTACCCTCACCGTAGCTTTGCCCCTATAGTAGACTACTGGTATTATTCCGTAACCTTCTAGATAGCTTCGCCCAAACTTTTGTCTAATGGTGATGTACCCCAACATTCTAGATAGCTTTCTGTTCACCTTTGTCCATTGGTGTTGTACCCTAACAATCTAGATAGCTTCGACCCAATTTTGTCTATTTGTGGTGTATCCTAAAACTCTAAATAGCTTTGTGTCCATTGATGCTGTACCCCCACATTCTAGATAGCTTTGTGTCCATGTGTGTCCATTGATGCTGTACCCCCACATTCTAGATAGCTTTGTGTCCATGTGTGCCTATTGGTGCTGTACCCTAACATTCTAGATAGCTTTGTGTCCATTTGTGTCTATTGGTGATGTACCCTAACATTCTAGATAGCTTTGTGTCCATTTGTGTCTATTGGTGATGTACCCTAACATTCTAGATAGCTTTCTGTTCACCTTTGTCCATTGGTGCTGTACCCTAACAATCTAGATAGCTTCGACCCAATTTTGTCTATTTGTGGTGTATCCTAAAACTCTAAATAGCTTTGTGTCTATTGATGCTGTACCCTCACGTTCTAGATAGCTTTGTGTCCATTTGTGTCTATTGGTGATGTACCCCCACATTCTAGATAGCTTTGTGCCCATGTGTGTTAGTGCAGTATACTAACATTCTAGATTTCTCTTCACCTTTGTCTATAGGTGGTGTGCCCCCGCCGTAGACGATGTCGCGCCCTGGTGTTGCTCACACAATACAGGTCATCGTCCCACAGATAAACGACTGTGTGGAACACACCTACTTACTATTCCTATAATAGCACCACGTTACGCAGCTGAATGCATATGGTAATGGAATACACAGTGATTTACCGTCACTGTCACAAATATGATTCAGGAGTGATTGGCGGTGAATGGTGCATTATTAAATCATGTTAATGGTCTATACATAGAAACCAGTTACAAACTAAATCACGTCACCCGCCAACCTCATTATCGGCTAATGGTTAAACCCGCGGCCAATACGTGTGAAAATGTCACTTTACGTGCATCAGAACAATACATCATCACTGAATATTTATCCCAACTTTTCATAACCTTTATGTATAACGATTTGTAAATGTTCAATTTATTCGTCTGAACCAAGGTACCCTCAAATCAGAAATTTAAATATTCCGATCACGAGTGTTGGGTGAAATTATACAATTCGATGCAGGTGTATAGAAATTACATACGTGTGGATACCTGACCCGACCCAGAAAGTGTTCGTCCTGCTACGACTGTAGTAACTCCCTCGTTTAGAACAAACTTACGAATGTCGTACATGTAGTGCAACGAACGCTTTATGGGTCGGGGCTCTTGCACAGGCTAATACAGGTATATACACGTCGACTACTTACTTCCAGTGAAGCATCTCACTGCATGCATCCACGTTACCACCACACCACACCACACCACACCACCCGATGTTGGTCAGGAAGACTAACGTTGCAAGTACATATACCTCTATACTACAGGTAAACAAACAAGTATCCTGGCCTACGGTACTGGCCCATGTCGGACACTGGGCTACACTCACACACCACGTCAGCGTTATACATACCTCGGGTGAATCAGCTATATCTCTCTAGCTGCTTCACGACACTTGATAATCAATAATACTCAAGTGACGCTAGAAACAATAGGTATATGACTACACCATGTCACTCAGTGTTATATTTGTGATGTCATCGCCCTGGTGGCTTGCGCTGATTTCATCAGTTACGGATACCGTTCATCGCCTCTGTGGTGTTCACTAAAGCTGATGATTGAAGCCTTAGGTATAGTGTAATCTGTAGCAACACCACGTGGTGGAGAATACAATACAGTCAAGTGGGATGGAACCCTGGTCAATATAATCACCCGAGTATCAGCATGTCTCATCAACGCTGACAAGAATTATGTTTACCACACAATGGGGTCATATAGGGTCGGTTTCATACAATATAGTTTTAATACTGTTATCGTAATGAGCATGCATCAATGGTTTCTGGTCGTAATCTCTGGAGTTATCTAAAAGCAATATTACCTTGCGTAGGTTGGGGTTATAATTAAATATTTTCATCTCCATTAATTGAAACATGTCTGTTGAATTAAACTAACTTGAGCTACCGTTTTAGTTTCACAAGCATAATAAGTTAAACAAACACGTGAATTGGCTACGATTTAAGGTAAAGTCAATTCAACATATTGAAGTGGCGTTATTCAAGATCATTAACGTTATCCAACGTCGCCCGTGAAATAATTCAAAGACATCAAAAACATGATAACATTCTTAGAATTCATGAGACCAATGATGGTGGCAAAATGAAAAAAGGTAGAAACGAATAGATAAAGTAGAGGATACTTCATATTTACAGAGACGTTGGGCTTCATTTACCTACTGACGTTCAAGCAACATTTGACGATATATCGCTATATGTATTTTTCATAGAGAAAATGCTAACCGAAGATATTTACCCTTTAAGTTCAACTGATCCCGCCGTTCCACAACACCTCTATACTACACACATAGATCTGAGCGTAGCGCAGCGAAAAGAATACATTGGTATATAAACTGTAAACTGATACCTGACAACAAGCTCGACGCAAGGCCAACAGGCGAGACTGGCCACGCATCGGTGGTGTTTAGTTAGATGACACTAAATCACGTACATTATGCGTTACATTTAGCTCACAGTTTATGTTCGAACGTTACAGCTAGTGTATATATATGTATCCACACGGGCAGCATGAAATACATTAGTCACTGGTGCGCGACGAGGCTAACTGTGTAGTTCCGACGGGGTACCAAGATCTGTATATAAACCCTTCCACTCTCTCTATATTGTGTCCAGTGTCGTGCAATTTTCAACGGCGCGTTCAAGCAGTTAATTTTAGCTGGATTTTAACGCTATAAAAAAAATAAATTTAAGTAGTAGTAGTAGTAGTAGTGCTGGAATACTGATAAAAGCGGCGTATAACAATACTCACTTACTCATTATTTTTATTATTATTATTATCATTATTATTATTATTATACACCGATCGGGAAGAAATTAACTTGACCGTAAGTGAATGTGATTACACCGCATTCAACAACGTGGCACTCATATCATGGTGAGATGTTACCAGGTCTGATACAGACAAAAACAGACACTGCCAGGTCACACGACATAATACCTGATCTTCACTTCAGTCGACTCTAACTACATTAAAACGTAGTTATGAAATGTTATTCGGCATACTCCGGCATGGTTATTTTGGTGTTGATTGTTAGATGAATTAAGGGGTTTTGTTTCGCCTGGGGCTATATATAAGTGGACACTATTGCACTTATACAAATACAAATCAGAGGTTATCCTTAATATACATCGCATGTAACGACCACTCACACAAGCAAACAAGCACACAAGCATGCATCTTACACATTACCGAACCTGGCACACGAGATACAATGCTACATAGAGCCTCCAGCGCTTTCGTCCCTGGCAACCTCGTCGCTGGATGACTAAAATATTGCCGACGCGACGTTAAATATGAACCTACTCCCCCTCTGGACCACGTTATACATGCGCAGTAAGTTCCGCATATATCGCACTTGGAAGGTGATTCGTGCAACCTCCGGTTACTCAAAACACAACATGGTTGCAAGAATGAGCGCCAAATGAAAGTCATCTTTTCAACAGAACGAGGTGATTACGCCAGCAAACCCCAGCGGTTGTTTCTGTCGAGCCACATCATCGTACATGGGAGACGCCATCTCAACACCACATGTTCCGTGGAACTACATAGACTATAGAGGCCCGGGTTTGAAGATGGGATATTGAGTCCATAAGCCTACCATGTAGTACACGGAGAGTAACTCATCAGAACCACAACCGCGAACCTCCACCAGTGTATGGTATGTGTTTTAATGTGCAACTTATAACAAAGCTGGTCCAGCCGCAAATACTGGATGAAATGAATAAGGGGTCACTTAGTTTTAGACACGGTAAAATGATATGCTATCATGGGTTCTAGGCCTTGTCTACCTATACGCGTGTGAAACAATGCACACAAACACATATCAACATTTGATTCTGACATGTATTTAATTTGTATGCGCGCGATTACAAATGTACTGACAGTGAAGCTTATTTCCCATTGTTCCTTTATTCGTTTCTATCAGTATAGTGTGTGCAAGGGATGAGCCGCACTGAGCCAGCTAATGACGACGCTGTGTTCATGGATATTGTTTTTAAGTGACTTCCCCAAGGTAATCAGCATAGACTAACTCACACGGTAATTCCACATCGACATGTGAGTTGTTGGCAGAAACATTAATATTAGCCATGCTCATTTTTCACCATGGTTTCACTCGACGAAATATACAGCATATGTGGCTCCCAATGGCGATTTGAGAGAGTCTGTCCCACTCCCCATGCAGCCTACATGGCTTGACGTTGCCAGACACGACCAAGCCTATCCAGGAACTGCAAAGTAAATCGGGACTCATCTGAAAGCATGACACGTGACCGGCGACGATTACCTCAGTTTCAACATTATGTGCACCATTGACGTCCGTTGGCAATATGGAGATTTGTAAGGTGCGGCACAACACGTGGCCGTCGAGCATGGAGATGAGCTGCACGTGGACGATTTCGAATCGTCTTACCCGTAACTCGTACTCAAGTAACCTTGTGAAAGTTTGCAGCAATTTGATTCGCCGTTTTAACTCGATTTTGTTTAGCCTGGTTTCGGATCAATAGACCCTGTAGTCTTGTCGTTGACCTGGGACGCCCTGAACGGGTTCGATTGTCAACATTTGGGTATGTTGGTTCATAGTCAACTAATCACAGACCGTGATACATTGAACTTCTGCCAGTTTCCACCTTGCCAATAGCCGATACACGCTCCGCG